CGCGCCGCCCGCCGCCCGGGAGCTCGCGCCCCGGGCCAGCGGCCGCCCGGGTCCCCAGCGCCCTCAGGTCCCGGAGGCCCCGCTCGGCCGCGGCCCGGAGGAACTGCGGAAGCGCGGAGCCTTCGTCACCTGGCAGCCTGGGCGGGAGCTCCGGAGTCCGAGCGGCAAGGCGTTCGCCCAGCCCGCGCGCCCCGACACGCCCCGCTTGTAAGTTGGCCCCGCGGAGCCGTCCGCCCTCGGCGGGCCCTGGGCCCGCGGCCCGCCTCCCCGACCGCGCGTTGGGGCGCCCGGGGCGAGCCGGCTGCGGCCCTACTGGGCCGACGAGATTTCCGGGTGCGGACGCGGTAGTTTCCCTTTGTTTTGCCCTCTGCGGATTCCTTGGGGCCTGCGGGGTGGAGACGGGAAGGGAGGCCGCTGTTAGGAGCGGACCGGAACGCGGCCCAGCCCCGGGGCTGAGGTCGGACACAGGGCCAGGTGAGGTGGCCCGGGGCCGGCTTGAAGGGTTTATAGCAAGCTTCGGGAGCATTATGGACGGCGAGTGCCCGTGCGGCTTGGGAGCGCCCTCCTTGTGAAGACACGGAGCCCTCTGACAGGCCCGCCTAGTGGTCAGAGTCCCTGGGGAACTTTTAAAGTAGACATACCAGTTCTCAGGCTCCATTCCAAAATAAAAGAATTTCTGGCAGGTGAGGCCTGGAAACCTTTATTTGAAAAAAATACGCTCAGGGTGGAAAATTCTGTGTGCTTGCAAATAGCCGAAAAGTATTGAACAAGTTTGTAAATCCTCGTTTTCACGCCTTTTGCTTTTTGCGGAGGAGACGTAGGTTTCATGATTTTGTAAAGAAAAGGACTGAATTTTGGGTTCTAAATCAGTAATTTCATTACAATCGTTTGATCCCTGATCCTAACTGCGCCACCTTATTCTGGTGGCCGTTGTGGGAGCCTAGAGTTCAGGATAGAAGTTATGCCAGTAACGTTATGTATTTTATTTTATTTTTTACTTTGGTATCATTAATGTACAATTACATGAGGAACATTATGGTTACTAGACTCACCCCATCACCAAGGCTCCCCCCACATACCCCATCACAGTCACTGTCCATCAGCGTAGTAAGATGCTGTAGAATCACTACTTGTCTTCTCTGTTGCACAGCCCTCCCCATGCCCCCCAATTATACATGCTAATCGTAATGCCCCCTTTCTCCCTCCCCTCCCATTACCTCTTCCCTTCCCACCCATCCTCCCCAGTCCCTTTCCTTTTGGTAACTTTCAGTCCATTCTTGGGTTCTGTGATTCTGCTGCTGTTTTGTTTCCTCAGTCTTTTCTTTGTTCTTATACTCCACATATGAGTGAAATCATTTGGTATTTGTCTTTCTCCGCCTGGCTTATTTCACTGAGCATAATACCCTCTAGCTCCATCCATGTTGCTGCAAATGGTAGGATTTGT